TATTGTAGACTGGGACTTATGCCCACCGGGCATTAGTATAGGCGTTGGTGTACGTGATTTCGGTCAGCGGTTCACCCCTCGCTCGCGACTTCCCGACCGGACGTTTCTTTTGCCCTCGAAGGACGAGAGTCGCTCGTGTCTCGAGGACGGTCCTCGGCGTGTCCTGGCGGTTCCACCTTGCGCGGCAGGAAAGTGTTTAGGAAGACGGCGAGGCGGAACGGACGCGGGGTGGGAGACGCGTGGCTCTCCGAGGTGGCCCGTGGCTCGTGCTAATTCAGTCGAAGCGCGAACTCGGCCGGCGGATTGTTGCCGCGAACGGCGATCCTGATCGGAATCGATCATAAGGCAATAATCGGCCGGTTCCCGCCGCGGTAGGCGCCTGACGAATGCCGTCCGCGCTCGAACGTCGCGCTCGCCCGTGGAATCCGACCGTCAAGGATAATCGTCGAGCCGACGTTGCTGGTTTATCTGTTTACGTCGCGCTTTCTTCTGCGCGCGTCGGGGATAAATGTCCCGACGCGCGCTACGTAGATCCGTTCCCAAAATACTTGAGTTTTTCTGACGGATGACGTGACGGCAGGTGCCAGGAGGGAGGAGGCGTGTAGGAAGCGATTTTCTTGGCCGCGGTCGCCGAGAAAGAGAGAGAGCGAGAGAGACACGACGACTTTTTGGCAATCTCGCAACTGGAACTGCGCGTCGCAACGGGGTCGACCTTAACCCGACGGCGGTCTCTTCATTGAGCGGCGAACTTGAACAAACAATCGTCACGCCACGGCACTCGAAGGGGGAAAAGAGAGAAAGCCGGTTGGCTTCGCGCGAAGTTTCGCAGATCCATGATGCGACGTAAACGTGGGAGACGTATCGCTCAGACGTTGTTCCGCTCGTTCAATGAGTTTCCGACTTTCCCGCGCGCGTGTGCCGTGTGTCAAGCTGACGGCGGAGCCGCTCGGGCTCGACGGGGATAGAACGAGCGCTCGCGACTTTCCCAGCTTCGTCCCTCCGTCGAGCTACCCGCCGGGACCCTCTTCGACACGGGGGATGCGTTTGAGAACTTTCGGCGGTGTCGAGCGAATCGTCGCACCCGGGAACGCGCGTTGACCTCCCCGCGGTCAATTCGGGCGGGCGACAGAGGGTAATAAGGACGGCGTATATTACGCGCGACCGGGACACTTGCGTGGACCGTGGCGGCACGTGGGTCGATTCATTGACACGGGCGGGTCAGTCTGGCGCCGACGAGCGCGTCGCGATTTTTCCGGGAACGGGCCGATCTCGACCGATGCACCCCTCAATGACGACGCTGATTGCAGATCGTGAGTCGAAGGAGGCTCACCACAACAGTACCTACACGGCGAGGACGTCGCCGGAGACGCGAGACCAGGCCGCCCAGACCACCGCGCCCTACGTGGATTTCCGCGTGGAGCAGGCGGAACGGGCCGCACAGGCGCTCGCGGTGAGCGTGCGTTACCTGGCGTTCGAGGTACGCATCTTTTTCGTAGAGGAGTCCGCTATTATGAGACAGTCTCCTAATACGAGATAGCGGGCTAGTTGTCTCGCGACAGCGACGCTCAAGAGTTTCCTCCAGACAGGCGCCAGCGCTCGATTATTATTATACAATGATATATCTTGATGCAATATTGTTCTAAAGAGTACGCTTACGATTACATAATATAAAATAGATTCGAAAGATTGTAGGCGCTGCTGCCACATCTCTTGCACTACACTCATGTCTGCTACATAATTTTCCCCATTTTTCAGTTTCAGCTGTTAATATTGTTGAAACGGAACGGTCAACAGTTTTTACTTTTTTTCCAGCCGTTCGTTCTATTTTACTTCATAACATATTTGTTTCTCTAAAGAAAATAAAATGTGCCGTCATTTGCAAACGCAAATATTAATATTTTAATACATTATAATATGTGTAAATAGTATTTTTAACGTGTTTTACACGTAATATTTCGTGCAACGTAGCAAACTTTATCTTCTTTTTTATTTTAGAACTTTGAGACGATCAATTTTAATTTAATTAGTCTTATCTTGCACGAAGAATATTAAACTAGACATTTTGAACAATTCTCACATGAATGATTTTACGAAATAACTACCTTAATAGGCGTCATCGGTTGACTCCACCGTGAATTTATCGGAGCGAAATCAGTGCTCACTGGAAAATTCGTCGTTAGATCGCGTGTAATCGCTGCGAAAAAAAGATTAGGGATGGAGTTCGGGGGTTGAAAACCCGCTGTCTCATATCGGGGGACCTGTCTCGCACTTCCGCCTGTACCGTGTGCCTCGTGAAGAACGCGGGGGAATCTCCGCGCGAGTCGGCACGGCGTAACGGAGCCCGCGTCTTGTCTTTCAGCTGGACGCGTTCGCCACTCCCAAACTGAAGAAGGATTTCGAGAAGCTGAAGACCGACTGCGAGGCGATGAAGAACGAGCGGTCGGCCCTGCTCTCGGAGATCGACGTTCTGCGGGCGAGATACGTCAGCATGGAGGAGGGACTCGACGCGGAGAGGAAGGACCACCGAAAGGCTCTGGACCAGCTTCGCGACGAGTGTAAGTCTTATGTAATATATCTGTTTATTTTCCCCCGATCCCATGCGGGCTGCGTATATATAGGTGTAGTCGAAAACTCACGATGACGCAATTCGCGAATGAAAAAGGGACTCCCGAAATAAATGGAAAACTATTCGGCAGACACACGAGGCGTCGGATCCGGCGGATATTATTCCTCCGTATTGCTCACGTGTTAACGAGCGTAATCGTCCCAATGTCGCAGCCCGACACGCCACGAAGTGGAACAATTGTTAATTAAAGTGGACGATTCAGCGGTGCCTACGCGCAACTCGAATCTTTGCGATTGATCCTAATAGCGCGCTCCTGGTCCCTTTCTACGCCCGATAGAAAATATTTCAAGCTCCTCGCCGAAGGATTTGGTTCTTAATTTAGTTCTCACGTAACGTTCGACGTTTCGATAGCCACTAATTATAGATTCAATGCGTGCTAGTCCGTCTAGCTTTGTACATACTTTTGCTTTTCAACGCAGGACCAATATACCGTAACGAGATTTGTATATTGTATTGCGTTAGAAAATCAAAAAGCGGAATCTTTATTTGTTATCCATTTGTTATCTGTTTATTTATTCGGAGGAAAGTTCTCTGCATGGCTGCACACGCGAGATTAACGGACGACTTAAAAGAGAGATACGAATACATAAATTTAAAAAAAAAGAAGAATAAGAAAGTATAAAAACATACAGATAACATTATGAAGCGTGACAAATTAGTAGGCATTGAAATGTGCTGACGAAAGGCGAAAAAATTGGCCCGTACTCTGAATCCTCTTTCGTCAATAAGAGCGTCTCTAAAAGTGGCTTGTAGCCAATCAGAAGGCTTATTAGCCACTTTTAGAGGCGCTTTTACTGATAAAAGAGGGTTCAGAATACGGGCCATTGACTACACTCTACAGAACAAATTATTTGCTAAACGCTAAACAAAATTGTCCACATGAAGACTAAGATTATTATAGACACTTGTCTGTGCGTGCGAAAGTAAGAAATTCAAGTTAACATTCCGGTTTTCAGTGGAGGCTCACAGGACGAAACAGGTCGCCACGCTCGTCGAAACTCTAAAAGAGGAAAGGCACAAGTACGACGTTAGACTGGGCGAAGTAACGAGGGAGCATCGCGCGACGATTGCGAAGCTGCGCGCCGAGCAGGTTAACGAGCTGGCTCGTAAGGAGGAGATGAGAAGATCCGTGGTTCACGATCAGGGCGCCGCGCTGATGGCGGAGATCGAGTCACTGAGGTCCGTGCTCGAGCTGAAGAGTCAGGAGAACACGGCCCTTCGGTCAGAGCTGGACAATTACAGGCGCGACGTCGGGGAGAAGGACGCCTTGCAGATGCGGCTCGACATGGCGGAGGCCCGATGCGAGGACCTGAAGGCTCAGCTTCAGCGGAAGGAGTCCTTCGAGCGGCAGGTCTCGCACGAGAACGAGATGCTTCACGAGTCGATTCACCAGGTCTCGAAGCACAACAAGCGCCTGTCGCAGCGGAACGAGGAGCTGCAGTGGAAGCTGCGGAATAAGAACGATTTGGTCAGTGTTCTTACGAATCAGCTGAATCCACGGTTGACTCGTTCCACGGGCGCGGAACAGCTGGAACACAGTTATTCGCTCGACAAGAATGGCGCTCCTTCGTCGTCGATGATGAAATTCATGGTCGAGAAGGGCGCCTCCGTCTCTTGGACGCTGGAAATCGACGATCTGCCGAAGGGGACGTCGGACTCGCTTAGCACTTTACCGAAAGTAGCCAGGCCCACCGAGGGCGCGACGACAGTTTCAAGGCAGGGATCGCTCAGACTGACGCCGAACGCCAGACCTGCCATGGACACCAGAGCGAGATCGAAGAGCATCTCCACTACGTGCGATTCGGCGCGGTCCGCGGCGGTGGCGGCAGTGGAAGAGGCGGCCGCGTGGTCGCCTTCGTTCAGCTCGACGCCGGTCACGCGACGACGTCCTCGGAAGGACCAATCGTCGCCTTCCTCGACGTCCTCTTCATCGTCTTCCACGTCGTCTACGGCGAATTCCGCGGTGGCTGTCGCGGTGGCGGCCGCTGTTGCGGCGGCGGCGGTGGCAGCGGCGGATGATTGCAACGTCGGCGGCGGTCAGAGACCCCAGGAGGCCGGCGGGGAAGCGATGATCTCCGAGGAAACGTCGGCGTCCAGCAGCGAGGATGAGTCGTCCACCGGCAGCGACATTCCTCGGCTAGGAATACAGTTCGCCTGGGGCAAACCGATCAAGTAACACCCGGGCGAACCGTCGCGGCCTGCTGTTGCCTGTCTACGCGTCCCTTCGCTCGCGTAACAGAGTGCTGTTTCGAATCGCGAAATTATCGTTACGGCCGCTGTCTCTGTTCTCTTGCCTACAGTGAAGCCGTTCCTCGACGTGCATTCATTGCGGACCTTCGTTGATCATTCCCCTTCGTCCGTTTGCAGACACGTTTACGTTTGCGTATTGTGTAACGCCGGCACCGCGCCTCTTTTATTTTTCCTTCTCCGACCGACATACATCCGGCCCGAGGCCCGAGGTTCAGAGCGTGAGGAGTGGCGTTCACGTTTTAAGCGAATGTGCCGCGCGCGATTCAAAGGATTCACGCGATTCCGGAATATAACGTTGTAAGTTAGTGAGATGTTTAAGAGATGAATTCCACGATGTATTTTAATGTTACGACTGTATAAATTAGACTAGTACGATTGTTTCCCGTGGTTTTCCCAATTACGAGGACGTTTCATCTTCCCCCCCTCCCCCCTGACACAGAACTTTTTGCATTGCGATTTAAGGCAGCGATGCACCGCATGGATTTAAGATTAGGATCTTCGAATTCCGTTACGCAATGATTTTCCGATATATTATGCATACAACGAAACTGCTTCGTTTGCTGTAATGCTGTGCCTTTATTTCGGGCGATCTTTGTCTACAAAGTTTACGACGTGCAGAGTCACGCAGGATTCAAGGAGAATTCCTCTTTTTATGTTTTCATTCGCTTCAATTTATTTTTTTTGGAATTTTGACGGACATTGAAAAAGGGAAGTTCAATGTCGTTCTGGCTGACGGGCTTTTATTGCGGCGTTTCCGAGAATTTTTATCGGATGTCCGACTATCTGAACACTTTTATAGTTACGTACGTTTTATAAGCATCACCTACTCTTTCGTTTTTTGGTACAGAGACCACGTAGTATTGCGGAGATATAAAATATATATATACACGCACGCACACGCACACATACATATTCATATGTATATGTGTGTATATATGTATATGTATACGCGTGTGTGTAAGAGCATGACAAAAGAAAAATATTCCTCGTTCCTCGCAATCATGCCGATTTCGTACTTGTAAGTCGATTCTTTTTCAGATGATGCGCGTCGTCCCTCGCGCATTTTTTTTTCCGTTTGTTGCGTTCTCGAGAAAGGGAAAAAGAAAGATCGACAGCCGGATCCTCTTCGCCGGCACGGCGTTTCTTTGTGACGCGTCTTTCGCGTGCAACAACAACCGAATCGCGGATGATCTACCTGGTAGACGCAGCAGAACAGTGATAACCATTAGCGACAAAATGTAGCACGACAAGAGCGTTAATTTCACAGTCCGTTCCAATAGACGAGTGGTAGCTTAGATTATGAGTGAGAGAGAGAGAGAGAGAGAGAGAGAGAGAGAGAGAGAGAACATCGCGCGCCCGAACACACGGAAGCAAAGTATTACTCACCGAGAAAGTATGTTTTCTTTTCTCATGTGTGCTGATAAGATTGATGTATTATATACTTCTCGAATAAATAAGTATCATCTAAATTGTAGAGCAATCTGGGGAGATTTTCCGTTTGCCCTCATCGCTAGGATTGTAGCTACGAGCAGTCGTATTTCAGATCGACTTGATTTGACTTTATTAAGTGATCCCACAATTTTAGCGTTTGAAAATAATACAGTTTAATGAGAATGTTAATGTTTGATTTAGTAAGAATGTATCAACGTTATCGGGTTGAAATTGATGAGCGGAAAAATTGTAAGATAACACTTGCGCATGATATTTTTGCGATTTATAACGCGCGGAATGAAGTTCTCGAATTGCGATGCGATCGTTTATTTGATTTTAACATTTAACTCGCGCGAGTAGAAGGAGATTCGATAGACTGTTGAAATCAATTATTAATTAGATTATCTTGTTGGTTACACTACTGTGATGTCCTTTCTGTTTGAAGATTAATAAAGCGTTTTTGTTAAGCAAGTCGCACGCGTCATCTCATTTTTTTTCCCGCGATACTTAGAGCGGAGACGTCGCGCGTGTACGATTTCAGTTGTTACGAAAAAATAACATAAATATGGAGATTGCACGAACGTCTACTGTAAAATAGGAACGAGTTTAAAGTCTTCGCTGCTGCGACGCCGTACGGATTTGTCGGGATCGCGTCTCGATATTTTCCACTTAACTTTTTGAGCAGTGCATGAATTTTAGAATAATACCAGCCCTGGAACGAATTTTCTTGCATATTGAGATCACGATTGGTCAAATCTGAAATTTCATAGCACCACATTGAAATTTTATTCAATGAACATCCAGATTTGACCAATCGTAGCACAAGGTCATTTTAATCTGGATCATTTTGATCTTCTCGCGAGAGCAGCCCAGGGCATAAATTCTGTATCTTATGATATAGTGAAAATGCTAAAAATGACCGGCTCTATCTAAGGGGATAGTAAAGGTGCCATTTCATAGAGCGAAGAAAGGCTAGCGTATCACCACCACTCTACCGATTTCCGCCAAAGTAACTATACAGCGAAGATACGTTGAAAGTTCGGCATTGTCCAACTAATAGCGAAGTAACGCTGGGAGAAGAAAGTGAACCGGTACGAGTGTTGTAATGTTTTAGAGAATATGGCTGGAAGGACACATATGCTCCGAGTTGCAGTCATACGAAAATAATTATGAAACCGTATGTCCTCCAATACCAATTTCGGAATCGACGCAAAATAAAAACCGTGTCTGTAACGATTTTCAAAAATGGGTGCGCTACCCAATACTTTTCTCTTCAACAAATACATTACAGTAGCTGCAGGAGCTATACGTCGCCTTTCGATCTCCTGTGCAACTATTGCTATGACGTGACCGTATTCCATTTTTGTGCTTAAGGAAGCTGTTATTCTAAAATAAACAACGGCCAAAAATCCCGCGAAAATATGCTCCATGAAAAGGAAGGAGGCGAATAGCGATAGCTTTTCAACGCCGATTTGACGTGCGGTGGAGCGGGGGTAATACGCTAGCTTTTCTTCGCTCTATGAAATGGCACTTTTAGAAAGAGACAAAGCTACTCGCTTTTAGCATTTTTATTTACTATAGGCCGGTATTCATAGTCGGTTCTTATTTCAAAATCATCTTAAGTGTCATCTTAAGACGCTAATACAGCTCTGTGATTAAGATGATCTTAAATATTAAGGGCCACCCTGATGGAAAAATTTTGCTGAAAACGTAATGAAATTTGCTGAAATTTGGTTGAAAATCTCTTGCAATTGACCCAATTTCATTATTTCAGCAATTTTTCATTAAAAAATTTATTTTCAGTTAAATTCTGCAAATTTCATAATATACAACATTTCTAAAATTTTTTCACTCATTTTTAGTAATATTAATTAACTTTCATCTAATTTCACAGTATTTCATTGAATTTCATAACGAAACTTATGATTTATTTTGAAATGGTTTCAACAAGTTTCCAATAACTTTCATTTCACTTTTCATCAATTTCATTACATTTTCAGCAAAATTTTTCCATCAGGGCAGTTTCACAAACGTCGGTTAACTGTTAACCAGAGTTCAGTCAACTTCCTATCTTTTTCTATTTTGTTATCTAAGAAGAGACAGAGAATCAATTAACCTTCGGTTAACAGCTAACCGACGTTTGTGAAACTGGCCCTAAGAAATATAAGAACGAACTATGAATACGGCCATTATAGTGTAAGGCCCGCTGCAGACGATGCTAATTTTTCCTGCTAGATTGCTTGCAATCGAATAAATTACTATTGTTGCACCACTCAGCACTCAGGATTTCCAGTAATTTACCAAATCGCGAGCAATCCAGCAGGAGAAAAGTAACATCGTCTGCAGCGGGCCCAATTTAAGACACAGAATTGACCCCCGGACGAGGGATTTTCGTAAGTCGCCCGTGCGAAACCGGGCCTAAGGACCCGTCGCGGATGGGTTCGCGAACGCCCCGTCAGCCGCACCATCTACGATGGCCGACAGTCGATGGCCCCGCTGCACCTCGGTTGTGGTTACCTTAATTTATTGACAAAAATGTAACGCCGCTATTTTTAATTGGCCATGTTACCGCCGCGCACGGCATGACAATCGCCCCGACCGCGTTTATGTTATTCTTGTTTCTATAAATATCCAGCGCGCGTGCACCTCACTCCAAGATCCCCGGGTCTCTGACATCGACACGCGAAGATGTCTTCTAAGAGGTATATATTCGATTGTGTTTACTTTGCATCTTCCTTTTTTTTCCCTCCCCCTCTCTCCCTCGCGCTCCCTTTCTTTACGCCGTTTCGACACACGCTGGCCGGCCGCGCCAAATTGTCTCTGAGGAAATTATTTATAGCGGCGCGGAAACGGAGCATGGATCCTCCGGCGAGCGGCCTCCGTCCCTCCTCGGGAGATCGGTCTCTTTGTCCTTTGGTTAACGCCGCGACCGTTCGCGATCGTCTGCCCGTTGTTTCTTCGAAACCCCCGTGCAACGGGACCGCTCTCCCCCGTTGAATCGCGCAGATCTTTCGATCCCGAATCGATGCCGAGTAAAACGACCGATTGTTTGACGGATTTAATCCGCCGAGTCATTCCGGCGGGGAAAGAGTCTCGTGTAAACAGAGGACCCTCGCTCCGCAGCTTCCAGCGGCGCCGACGCGACACACGATTCAGAAATATGTACCCTCTTTATTGTTGTTTTCAGCGAGTTGAAAAAGTTATCGGAGGAAAGTCTGACGAGACAGCCGGAGGAAGTGTTTGATATCATATGCAAGCTGGGGGAAGGGTAAATCTCTTATCACTGATATTTATCGATGTCGAAAGACAGACTTGCTTTTTTCTCTCATTGTAAATGCCTTAGGTTCGTTCCGTTTCACGCGTGATGCGCACAATGCGTCATTTACCTTTAAACATCGGGTAAATAACAAGGACAGATGATGCATTGCGTGCGTTGTGCGTAAAATGGAACGCGCTCATTGTAAGTACGTGCCTCTGTGCAGATCGTATGGGTCAGTGTACAAAGCGTTGCACAAGGAAAGTGGGCAGGTGCTCGCCATAAAACAAGTACCGGTGGACACGGATCTACAGGAGATTATCAAGGAAATATCAATTATGCAGCAATGCGACTCTCCATATGTTGTTAAATATTATGGAAGTTACTTTAAGAATACGGATTTGTGGGTAAGTCGGTGCGCGCCGCGCGCTTTACTGCCCTGAGCTAAACTGGACGATCCGCCGACACTCGCTGTGACTTGCAGATCGTGATGGAGTACTGTGGAGCCGGCTCCGTTAGTGATATCATGAGGTTAAGGAAGAAGACCCTGCAGGAGGACGAAATCGCCACGATTCTGAGCGACACTCTGAAAGGGTTGGAGTACCTTCATCTGAGGAGGAAAATTCACAGGGACATCAAGGCTGGGAATATCCTTCTCAATAATGAGGGCCACGCGAAGCTGGCGGATTTCGGGGTGGCGGGTCAGTTAACGGTGAGTTTCAGAGAGATGCTTTTGGCCCGCGAAATCCAAACTGCATTCTCTGCGATAGGACACCATGGCGAAACGTAACACGGTCATTGGTACGCCGTTCTGGATGGCGCCGGAAGTGATACAAGAGATTGGGTACGATTGCGTCGCCGACATATGGTCCCTGGGAATAACGGCCCTGGAAATGGCCGAGGGCAAGCCGCCGTACGGCGACATACACCCGATGAGAGCAATATTTATGATCCCGACTAAACCGCCGCCCAGCTTCAGGGAACCCGATCAGTGGAGTCCGGAGTTTATCGATTTTGTCAGTGGGTGCCTTGTAAAAAATCCCGAAGAGAGAGCCACCGCGACCGAGCTTCTGCAGCACGAGTTCATAGGTGAGGCGAAGAAATTGTAATTCGCATTGCGATCTTATCTTACCGTTCAACGTGCGATCGCAGGTAACGCCAAGCAGCCGAGTATCCTGAGTCAAATGATCGCCGAGGCTCACGAGATACGAGAAAAGCAGAGCGCGCACAGAGCCCACGTTATAAACAACGTGGCGATCAAGAGTCAAAACCAGGCGGACGATTCGGTAAATACTTGACGGCTAGTCTGCGAACGCGTAGCAAATATCACTCGTTTACGTACGTAACGCCGTGTCTCTGTCGTAAGGATGAGGACGATTGTAGTGGAACTATGAAACCATTACCGGAGGACAGCAGGACTTTAGTGCCGAGCCATGATCTTCCAGACACGGGTACTTTAGTTTCGGCAATGTTGGACCTGGGTACAATGGTTATCAATAGCGATACAGATACCGAAGCTACCATGAAGAGTTAGTAGATTTTAATTAGTCTCCAAATTGCGGCAAAAGAAATCTTTCGCAGCTAATATCGACATTCCCTTTCCAGGACATAATACTGGCTCCGTAGAGTCCGGCAAGAAGTATCGGCCGTTATTCTTAGATCATTTTGACAAGAAAGAGGCGCCTGAAATCGGAAAGGTAATCCTTCTTGCATTACTTTGAGTTACCTGGATATGATTTGTGTCCGAAATATATTAATAACATTGACCAAATGTTACTGTGCAGGGTAACGGACAGATGTTGGGAGCGCACAACATGGACAATGCGAACAAATTGGAGCAGCAAAGTCCAACCGAATCTCATAGGTTTCAAAGTCATCTGCAGCTGCAGCTGCAGAATCAGATCTCTCATCCCGTGCCAGAACAGCCATATAACAATATATCCAAGTTTCAAAATGTCTTCACCGAACGTGATTTCGATTTTGTGAGTACAAATTTCTTTTCATCAATACTTGAAGAATCTACGTAACTAATTAGTATCCGCGCGCAATATCTATAGTGTAACGGGAGAGATTGGTTAATCACTTTGCGTTTTGTACAATATACAATTGACATTCTCTGCACCAAATTACATATTTGGAATAATGCCGCTTGAGGCATTATAAAAAAAAGATAACTTGAATATATAGAGAAGCCGTATCCTGCAGTTGAAGTTTCTCTCCTACGAGGAACTGCAGCAACGAATGGCTAGTCTGGACGCGGAAATGGAGCGGGAGATTGACGAGCTGAGAAAAAGGTATCAGACGAAGAGACAGCCTATTCTGGACGCCATGGATACCAAGCGGAAACGTCAACAGAACTTCTAACAGTCCTCCTTTACGCGAATAAGCGACGACGGATAGACAAAGGGTGTACAGTTGTATAAATGAATAGATTTTATTCGCGTCATCCCTGGTTTCATCAAAGAGAAGAACATTGCTCCCACACCGTGAATATTTTACCTCGTAAACGGACAAACGTGTAGCGACTGTGAATGTTCCCTGTTTACTCGCAAATCACAATGTTGCTTTTCTTTATGAATCCTGGGGTATCTTAGCTAGCAATAGCTAATAGCCTCACGTCATCAATGTAAATTATTTTACGTGATTTAGGTGAAGATACAATCACTATACTTAATTTTTGTATTATGTTTATCTATATTTACTGTTAAATATATCCTATTCTTATAGAAATATTCTGAGACTCCACTAGGGTCGTTAGAAACTAAACTAAGGAACGCAATAGGAGTGCAGAAACAAATGCATCGTGATTACGATCGTTTTTATAGAGAAATTTTATATTTACTTGGAAAGAAATCGGTATTTCGTATCGTCATGCTACGCTAGTCATTTACAATGCCATTTTATCCAGGATATGAAAAGATCATTTATTCATGCGAAATACACTTAAACGGCTAAGCATTTCAACAGTTCTCGAGTGTGAATGCTCTATTTAATCATGACAGTTTGAAATAAGCGAACAAGGCTGTAAGATTTAATTTACTTTTTATTCTACTGCCATAAATAGACTCTCTACTCATTCATTTACTAATAGCGACAACTAACTCTAGTTTACGTTCGATTTTCTAAGCGATTGAATTCAACTTTCAAGTTGCAAACATGTCCAACACCAATAAGATCACGCAATTCTAAAGTAATGAATAGTGTTGTTCAGTATGCAGTGTCACGATAAGAAATGATGCCGCATTCTAATAAGATATTTCACGAACGAACTTACTAGTATTAGAGTCTTCCGCGCGCCGTATTAGAAAGTATTTTCCAGTATGCTCTAATTTACTTTGTCGTAATATGGAAATTGTTAAAACTGAAATTTATCAGATTCCACTAATAATAACGGTATTTTTAGAATAATATAAAAGTTCGTATGGTAATGCCTTACAACAATCATTTTATGTATAAAGGATTAAAAATTTTTGACCGCATATTTTTTTGTGAACGTTACAAAAAAAATAAATATATTTGTACGTGCCATTAATGCATATGGCGAATAATCATAGTGGAATAATAACTCCTTGCTGACGTTTGGGCTATTTTGCAAGTAGTAGGAAATAGAGCTATACTTAAATGCGCTATAGCCAGAACTGATCTTCAATTTTCTTCTTTTAGAAAATAATAATACAGAATAACAACATATTTTTGATATAGAGGGTGTGCACATGGTCAATGAAATAAGGTCCGAATTTGAGACGTATATTATCCATAATCATGATACTCACAAACAGAAATGTAATACTAATAAGATTTTCAAGCGAGCGAGAAAGAAGTAATTGTTTAACATTATACTTTAATACGTTTTATATCCGAAATTCAATGTAACTGTACATAATAATTTTCTTGAAGACTCTTTTAAACAATTTAAATGGTCGTATATTTATATTTGATCCTTTTTCCATGTATTAAAATTGTAATGATTTTATTGTATTCTTTTGCCATATAATTTATACAAAAGATCAGAACACGTGAATGTTTGTAAGTTACATTCTTATTATAATATTATAGATTTACAAATTTTATATCTTTGCAGTTTATGCTGCTGTAAAATCTTCCTTCTTAAATTTATGACCTGCTTCCATTAATGTTCTGCGCTATTTGTTGTAGGATAAAACGAGTAAAACGGACAAAAATTTATACAAAAATGTCACAAAGAAGTACGCTAATGCATTTTCTACACGATTATCAGTCACCTAGCCTTAGCTAGCAATCATTTTTCATACGACAGTTTATATTTAGATATTTCATAAGGCAACGTAATAATCCGTTTTTATTTTTCCACTTGGCGATACGGGGCTTCGTATTCATATCTAATCGTGAGTTTTATGACATCATGATTTTACATTCGTACTGTGTATTGTACAATCTATTACAGTGTTTGGCTGAAATATAGAGACTGAAGGCAGAAGTATGTTTTCCGAGTGAATGATTTAGCGAAAACTGTAGTCTGATAATAGAACGTAACGACATATAGAACGATTGCTATTTAATATTAAAGCGAGATATTAATAGTTTTGTTTAAGATAATTACAAAAGCAAATATTAACATGCTGCCTTTTCAATCATTTTGTTTAATAATAATAAAACATTATACAAACTATGCGCGTTCGATCTCTTCAGTTTGATCTTTGATTAATGATACGGAAGCTACTAATCCTATTATTAAGTACCCCGTGCATATTTGTTGTACATCTATACAAAGTTTTGGTCCAAGTTAATTTCCGAGTCACACCAGATTTGGTTATCATTGGAATTGGACGGTATATAAAAATGTACAAAGAATGTTTTATAAAAAAAAAAGTTATCAATAAATATAAATGCATCTTAATCACATACTGAAGAAGACACTAAACATGCATCATTCGAACGAAGTCTCGAAAGCTATCCTATCGTTAATTTAAAAGTCGGAAACAGTTTCAACGACACTTGTAAAATATCTTAAAATATATCTTTCAAGAAGATCGTTTTGATAAGGCATACCCTGTTACTCTTTCTTATCACTATGCTTATACGTCAATCTTCGAGATTCATTTGGCTCATAAATCGTCGTCTCCTATCATACGAAAAACATTATTTTCCATGACATCAAGATCCGTTGTCTGAGTCTTATCAGCAACGGCCCTCGAGTCATTTGACTTTTTTGACGTCACAGCCGACCATTTATTAGCAAGCTTCTTTATAATTGGTCCCGATTTAGAATGATTGTTATTGGCACATTCGCGCAGCGGCGATCCTGCAACGATACGACTTTGACCGTCCCTCATCACGTACGTCCACGATTTCCCGGATTCTGCCTGAAAATATCGCATGTTTATGAACGAAGAGACTCGATTCGAGCGCTCAAGTAATCTGACACGGCTTATGTAACGGCACCTGATTTTTGCTCCCCACTACCCTTTTTTGCAACAACTCGTCAATCATGGCTTGCAGACAAACGGACATTAAAATTGCTTGCTCGGACGCAATCGTAATCCATTGTAACTCATTCCTGGCAATTAGATATTCGAAGGATAACTCCAAACTGCACTCATTATCCTCATGACGGTTCGTTTCCTGAATGCATTAATTAACAATTCATAACGACGATCTAGGTGAATTTCCCCACGGGAATACTCGTAACACCTACACTTTGCATCGTAGTGATACGCCAGCATCGCATTCGCGACACTTTGAACACGACTTCGTGCTCCTCGGGCGACAATACGCGCAAATTCAATTCATTTCCGCCTATGGCGAGCAACACTCTCGAGCTACGTTCGGGATAATCGCAGTAGCACGGCGCGAACTGCATGTAGCCATAGTATTTCAAGTAGCGAGCTATATTCAGGTACTGAAATAACGGAGAGGCAAGATAAGTTATGTGAAAATGTTTTCTTGGCGCAATAAACGCACCTCTCTTCTGCTCCCGGACTTTTCCAGGCTCTCCAATTGATGCTGCACTTCCTTCGTAACCGGAATCCAGCCGCTGCGAACTTCCGCAGCCGCCTGAATGTACAGTAAATTCAGCGTCACCGGATCGCTCAACAGCTCCACGTCGTACGTCGCGTCCCAGTAATTCTTTCTGAGAACGATCCGCGCACCCGCAGAACCCACGTATTTGTGCGTTATAAACGGCGATTCGAACTCTTGCAGTTTCCGCAGTACTGGGACAAAAAAGTACGCACGCTAACGGAGAAACGAAATACACGGATACGCCCGCGATAAAGCGCTAGAAAAGCATGCGTACTCACTCTTGACGCTACCGGAGAGCTCGTCTTGCATAATAATAAATAGCGCAAAATGGAAATAATATTTCTCTGCCAACTTTATGTGCTTGTATACTTTCTGCGAGAAGAAACGGAAGCATCTCAACAATTGCCACACGCGCCAAGTTACCGTATTAATCATTTGGAGCAGCGTACCTCTAGAACCCGGCCAGAGTGCTCTCCCGGCGAGACGCTCAACGGGACTCTGGATCCGTTCATGAGAAATATATCCAGAGTCTCGTGCTCGGACAGGCCGTCCGCGCAGGCAGTCTCTTGCTGGGCGTTCAATAGAAATCCATTTAGTATCTCCGAGTTATTTAAGGCCACGTTTTGACCGATGGACTGAATGTACTTCTCCAGGGCCAGTCGCCGTTCCTCCTGCTGGGCGACGGTCAGGGGGAAGAGCTTCTTTGGAGGGAATATTGGTAACACGTCGAGATCCTTCGACAGTTGTACGTGCAGATTGTGCAGCTGCTTGTATCTCGCGGTGCAGTGAAATGACCCGTTAATGTAAATATTGTATCCCTGCGCAATTCAGACGTTACATAAATTATCATTGCGACAACGTTGTGGCAATGTTGCGCGACGCACGACGAACAACAAAGCGCATTAATACTCACGATATATGCATTCCCAGCCCCGTCCGTGAATTCCTGAGTGTCCGGTATAGAAAAGTGCATCTCGACGGTATAAAAATACAATTGGAGGGCAGAAGTATTGTCGTAGAATCACATTATCCGCGAGGCAGAGTTCGTTGACTTCCCCCTCATCGGCAGCATCTGTTGAGGAGGAGGAGGAGGATAAGACGTTGAAGTTGTCAGATTTTCCAAATTTCGCTCGATCGCGCAATCGTGTCTAAAATTAACACGTGGGAGCCTGGTGAGCGGCCAGGCCGTGCAGTGAGTCACGCATTATTCGCCGCGGAGCGACGTTCTCGGATTTAAGCGCCGATTATTCAGGCCGCCCACCCGCCGAACGCGTCTCTCCCCGGTGTCTCCGCGGAAGGGAACGGGGACAGGAGCCCCCCTCGAGATCCGGATCGGGTAGAAAGCGACGTCCCAGTAATCGCGGACCCGCGCCTCCGCGCCACGCGTCCCCGCGTGTACTCACATATCGCCGCGCGGCTTTCGTCGTCTGCGGGGCCGCATACGTGACAGCGGACCACCTAATCGGTCGCACACGCCCACTCGCGCGTCGTGTTCCACGCGATTATTCCTACCGACGCGCATTTGAATCCCACGGGCTGGCCTGCGCCGCGGAGCAAGAGAACGCGGAAACGGCCACCCTCGCGTCGCACGCGCTCGCGGGCTCGCGCGTGCATGGTGGAAATACATAAGGCCCGGTCTACAATGAGTTGTTAGTCGTTAGTCAGAAGTCGGAACTATATGTCGGTCCTTTTTCTTCCACCCAGAAAGGAAAAGGATCAACATACATATAGTTGCGACTTCTGACTAACGACTAACGACTCATTGTAGACCGGGCCTTAGGTGTGCTCGTTTCCGAAACCAATTTTCGTCACAGATTAATAGACAGATCGCCAAAGGCCCGGCTGAAGACGAGACCTACACACTTTGCCCCTTTACCGACAGCGTTGCCCCTATACATAGGAGACCGGAATTAAGTTGGCGCTGGGAGTTCATATTTTCGTATAAAACCTAGCTCAAACGATTGCTCCCGAATTGCTCCATTAGAATCCACAATTGCTCCACTTTTAAAATCAATAGTTTTCGAAATATTAACAAAAAACGTAAAATTTTTAATTTTCAATAAAAAACATATTTCTAATAGCTTTGTGCAATTCTAACCAGCATCAAATGATTGCTCCTTCATTGCTCCATTAGAATCTACAATTGCTCCCCTTTTAAAATAAATAGTTTCTGAAATATTAAATAAATATGCAATAAATAATTAAAATAATGATGGAGCAATTAAAGAGCAATCATTGTATGCTGGATAGAATTGCACAAAGCTATTAGAAAAGTTTTTTATTGAAAATTAAAAATTTTACGTTTTTTGTATATAGAAAAATTATAAATAAATTAATCATTTCGCAAGTGACGACGCCGCCACCTATCGGCCGCCTATCGTAATTACATGGCTCTGCAGCATAAACGGCGGAAATATTCAAACGAAACGTAACAGTTCTTTCGTTTACAACTAATCTTAAAGAGTCTAATCGACATTTTCCATTGATTTTTGCTTAGAACAATTGTTCCTCGGTTGCTCCATTGAAATGATCAATTATAGCTCCATGCGTATAATTGATATTCTTGCAAAAAACCATTCATTTCATTGCAAAAACATATTTCCCATAGTCTTTTGCAAGTTTATTGTACATACATAGGACGATTGCTCCTTTATTGCTTCACA